ATGACTGTTCAAGATTATGACCAGCCCAGAATGGGTGTTTACGGCACATAAAGCATCTCTGGCTATCATAAAATGCTGTGCCACACCCCTTCCCACATTCATCTGATTGCATTTTGGGTACCTTGCAGCCTTTTTGCTTTTACAACTGTTTGCAACATCCCATGGTCACATGGTTGTGATTTTCAAAAAATGCTCATTCAGAAAAATGGGTTCACACTTATGACCATAGAATTTGCTTAACAATCCTGATAATTCACTTACTGACCACTAAAATAATTTCCTAAAATTGGGTGTAGTCTCATGAATGTCTCAATTTATGATGTAATAGCTTACAACTAGAAATCCCATTCCAATGGTGGTCACAAGTCAAGGATTACCTGTAATACAAAATATGAAATAGTTCAAAGAACTGAACCAGGTTCCTTTTTTACACATCCAAAATTATAGCAGAGCTATAAAAAAAAGTTATATAAAAAAAGTTACCGGTATATAAAAGTTAAAATTCAAGTTGATAATACTGGTCGCAGAAATAAATAAGTTTATGGAGTTTCAAACTCCATAAACCTAAGTTCAAACTTAAGTCTGAATGATAGTTTTGATCCTGAAAAAAAAAACTTTACAGAATTCCAGAGAAGTCTCTTGAATTCATTCATCCCAGAGATTTGATAATTGTATAGCAACCTTAGTATGTTTTGATCAGTATTTTTTGAGATCACTGGAACCCTTGATAACCATTCATGATTCTGCAGGTTTAAAAAAGTTAAGCATTTTAATTCAAATGATGCACAACAGTATAAATCAATAGATTAGTTCAAAAGAAAGCCAGAATTTAAAACATGAATTGCACTTCCAATATTTGAACTACCAAAAGAATAACTGAAAGACAATAAAAAGTGTGCTTAAAGTTTTCTTAAAGCAGACTGGAAGGCATAAGAAAGGTTATTCAATGTTTCCTCAGCCCAAAGGAGGACACTCTTTCTCAAGATCTCCAGAAACTGGATAACTACTTGAAAAAATGGTGCCTCCAATCAAGCCTAACAAAAACAGAAGTAGCCACATTACACCTCAGCAATAGAAATGCAAATTACCAGCCTTCAGTGAAGTACTGGAACTGTATGTTACAATGTAATAACTCTTGGAAGTACTTACAGATTACACTGGACAGATTACTAACTTCCTGACAATATCTGCAAAAAACAACTGCAAAATTGAAAAGCCACCATAACTTACTGAACAGACTGGCTTGAACATCTTGGGGTGCTGATGCTAACACCCTACAAACAACAATCTTGGCTTTGGTTTATTCCACAGCTAAATATTGTGTCAGTGTGTGGCTTAATAGCACCCACACATATATAGTCGACGTGCAACTCCACCAGACAATGCTTATCAACTCCAGCACACTGCATCTCACTTCTGTGCACTGGTTACCAGTCCTTAGTAATATCATACCACCCCACATTAGAAGACAACAAGCTCTTGTTCGACTGTGGTCAAGAATGCCGAATAACAAGGCCCTCCCTATTCACCAGGACAATGTGCAGTCCATCACAAGACTGAAGTCCTGTAGGTCAGCATGGAAAATAGTTATTCACTTAGTATGTACCCAGTTTAACCCAGAGAATGCCTGGAGAGAAAACTGGCCCAATCTGACCATTAGTGATCCCTCTACCAAACCACCTGGTCTTGACCTATCTTGCTCTATCTGAACAAAACTGAACAGAATTAGGTCTAATACTGGAAGAGGTGCCTCTGCCCTATATCAGTGGGGATGGAAAGTTTCCCTTTGTTGTGATTGTGGTCCTGACAAGCAAACTATTAAACATATTGTGCCAGATTGTCCACGATATATGTTTTCTGATTTCCTAGAAGACCTAGAGGAAGCAATGAAAGAGGTGATTGCCTGGATATGAGGTTATGAGGCCACTGCCATACCCCCTTAGAAGTTTTACTTACAATAATGTGGACTGTGAATTTAATTCTGTTCGGTCATGTTCTCATCATATGCCAAATAATGAATGAATGAATGAATGAATGAATGAATGAATGAATGAATGAATGAATAGCTAGCTAGCTAGCACAAATTCTGCCTAGGAATTATAGTTTAGCTACAGTTCATATACACTTTCCCAGAGATAATCAGAAATTGAGGGAAACTGAAGTTAGATTTTTGTCCAATAGAGTTCTTTTGGAGTGGAGATGGACAAAGTGGACTTTCTTGTTGTTATTTAAATTATGTCCATGGTTCATTCTCATATTATTTTCAGCAATTGAATAGCAATCCGGTGCCCTCCAATGTTCAGAATATCAGTTAACATTGGAAAACATTGGTAATGACAAAGGATAATGAGAATTGTAGACCAAAACAGCATAAGGTGATCTGCTTGCTTTTCAAAAGATTCACCAAATGTGCTAAATAGTCAATCTGTGAAAAATCAGCCCCTATGATTTCTAAAACATGGTTTCTGGCTCAGCACAAAGAGCCAACTCAACCAATTACAATTTATTCAGCAAACCACAGATTAGTATGGTATGTAAACTAAGCCCTTATTTTGAAAATATACGAGACATTGTTATAACTCACAGAAGCCTGTTTTTCCTTAACAAACAAAATTTTATTTCCCCCTTAGATCACAGTCAAACTGGGTTACTAACCTTTTCTCCAGCAAGGTTGTTATGCCTCAAACAGCTATAAAAGAAGTAGAACTGTAGCAAATAAGGAGCTTTCACACTATTTTAAGAAGAGCTACAGCTGAAAAATTTCTGCTTGGTATAACACAGGCCCTTTGGAAGCTACCATTCCCCATAAGAAAATCAACAACTATAGTAAAACTATCAGACTTGTTTGCTTTTGAGACTGAAGCAAAAGAGGTCATACCACCAAACACAATTACAAACACAAATTAGTGTTTTAATTTATTAAAAAATATTACATTTGAGAAGAGGAAACCTAGTTTCACATTTCTACTCTAGCACTGGGCTCACCAAATGACTTTAGGCTAGTCATTTTCTATTTCAGTCTAATTTACAGGGTCGCTAATATGAAATAAATTTAGGAAAGGCCCTCATGCACTGACGTAGAGATTTCAGAGAAAAAGCTAGACTATCAATGCAATAAACAAAAATTTCAAGCAATTAAATGATTAACAATTGTTGCCCTATTACATTTTTGATCACAGTCTGTAAATTTAAATAGCAACGTTACTTCCAAATAAGTTAATATCACCTGCAACTCAAACATTTGTAGTTCACCCTGCTGTTTCCAAGATAGTAAACCTAAGATTGCAATTTTGCATACCTAAAGTTAAAAGGGGGGAACTTAACACATATTAACTGTTGTATATTTAGAAGAGAAAATGGGGAAAAATACCTCCATGTGAACAGTATCAAACATAATCAGTAAAATAAAAAACCAAACTACATCTAGAACAATCACAGATCATTATTTTAAATTATGTTCCGAAGTTTACTTCAATTAAAACCAATTTGAATGACAGCAAAACACTAGTTAGCATTTCTTTGTGTTTTCTAATATAGAAACAGCCCATGGTAATACTGTATCTTTAACATCACATTTTCCTTCAAACCAGTTCAACTCACTCATTAACACATGACTCTTGGGTTCTTGCCAGGAGAAAAGGTAATACCTAATTTGAGGAAAGCTTTCCAGTAACTATCTGCCTCTCAGCACAAACTCAGTGAATTGCGTTGCTAAATGGTCCCAAATGGATTTTTTTTTTTAAAAAAAAAAGAAAAGATAATTAGAGGTTTCAATTTTGGAAAAGAAAAAGTGCTTAACAGAATTTGATCTGATAAGCAAGAGCAGCAAGGCAGAGGCCCTCCAACAAAGCACTTTTTTCCCCATAAGCATTCGCTTTCTAAAATAATTGTACTTCTCCAGTTCCTTGTAGACTTTCTGCACATAATAGGAAAGTTTTAAGAGGAAGGGAATTTACTGATCATAAAACAGTAAACTGTTAACAAACTGAAGCCTTCTGTCCTAGCCCCATGATCTGGAACCTTGGATATGGCTTTTATTTCCTTCACCAACTTTCAGATTTCAGAGCTAGTGGTTTTATCATTTATCTCTTGCTCTGGGCAAAACCAGATAGCAACCAGACCAAAACTCTTTAAGGAAGCAGAGTACTATAAGTGATGCATAATAAAAATCACAACCAGGGTCAAACACCCACCCCCAAATCAATCTATCAACCTGATGGCTGGCATCACACGAATCCAATCTGTTCCTTAGAAACCGAAGTCTTCCCAGCACCCCACGGTCTCCCCCTCCTCATTTCCGTGCAAAATCGGGGGATTTCCCTGTTCTCTGCCTCGGACCGCTGAATGCAATGTCAAAAGGCCCAATATTTACCAATGTATTGCAGAACGGCCCCCTTGTCTCGGCCCCCCGGGTAAAAAGCTCCGCCGCGTTTGAACTCTAGTAACCCCAGCACAGCTAGCTGCCAATCGAAGGCGGTCGACGCCGCCTGCCTAGCAGGAAAAAGACCGACGGGGGTTCCCGACACCAATCGGCGTTCCTTGGGGAGGGTGGGAGACGACGCTAAAAGGGTTTCCTCCCGTCATTAAGCGGGGGAGGGGCGGAATTGGGGGCGTTGCAACGTTTTTCCTGGGGCTTTTTAGAGACCACCGATTTTAATGGTCAAGCTGGGAGTTTGGCGGGGAGGGGGGCGGAAAAGGCCCTGGCTGCACGGGTTTGCAGTGGGTTGGTGGTGGTGGTGGTGGTGGTGGTGGGTTGCGATCTGCGGGCCGGGGAGCGGGAAAAGTCAGCCAACTTGGCAAGAAGCCGGATTATGGGGGTAGGTGGGTTTGGGGGTGTAAAGAAGGTTAACGCCGAGATGGAGCAAAAAGCAGGGAAGGGTACAGAAGAAGGAAAGAGAGAGAGAGGCAGCGGGTCGTAGGAAAGAATCACCCGCGAGAGAGGCGAGGGGGACGCGGCTCCAAAAAAGGATCGGCTCGGTTGCCTCGTGCGGATCTCTCACCTGGCCGTGCGATTGATCTTCACCCCAGCCGGGGCTGGAGAAGGGGGGGGGGTCCTTGGTTGCTTTGCCCGTCGGCTCCCGTCTTCCTTCCTTCCTTCCTTCCTCCTCCGCCTCGGCGCAGTTCCTCCAACAGCCGCTACGGCACCATGCCTGGCCTGCGCTGGCGTGGCTGCAACCGATCGCGCCTCCAGGGCAGCATCGCCGCTGCCGCCGCGGTTTGTCTACCCGCTGAGGGCCACAAAGCCGACTCCAAGCGAGCTCTCCTTCCCCATTCACGGGCGCCCGGGGCCCACGCGAGCTCCTGCGTTGCGCGATTCCAGCTCCGCCAACAAACCGCCAGGATCAAGGCAGCCTCCTCCGCCCCCCTACCCTTGCGGCGAAGAGCGCATGCGCTCCGGGGGCATCGAGACAAAGTGGCTGGCTGCGCCGTGGCGGGCGGCGAGTGGAAGAGGGCCGCCCTCTCCTGGGGAACGCGGCGTTTGCGGCTCTGCTTTCAGTCCCCTAGGTTGCCCCGGGCAGCCATGTTCCCGCCAAAGCCGTTCGGAGCTGCAAATCCGGTAATCTCATCTTTACGTGGGCAGGCATGACTCTCTGATCCCCGCCGGCCTTTCCAAGAGCTTCACCTTCCAGCTTTCTTTTGCTAAAGAAGTAAGCGCGCTATTTAATGGTGCCGTCGCTCGAGTAAGGATGGAGGATGGTATAAGTGCGCGTGGAAGAAGCGCGATCTCGGAACCAAGCCCGGGTGGCTTTACGAGAGCTTGCTCCATTTAAGTGACTTTGAATGTAATGAGGTTGGGTGCCATCGGATGGTATGACTCTTGGCGACCACATAGATTTTCTCCACGAGGACGATCTATCCCAGACTTGGTCTTCGTGTGTTCCAACCGTGGACCCATCGCTGCTGCTGCTGCTATCAGGTCCATCCACCTTGCCGCTGCTTGTCCTCTTATCTTTTCTACCGCTTTCCCCAGCATTTAAAAATCTAATTTTTTGCCTCCCATATCCAAAGTATGAACAATTGAGTCTGGTCATTTATGCTTAAGTGGGAACTCTGGGTTGAAAGTTGCCTTATCCGTTTGTTTGGTTTATTGGCTATCCATGGTATCCTCAGGGGTTTTCTTCTACACCAACGTTCAAAAGCCTCAATACTGTTAATGTTTATTTGGAAGTGAACATAAATGGGAGTAAAATGTTCCTGAAGAGAAAGGAATCTTCCCTCATGCCTACTCATAGTCTGGGCAACCTGGGTGTCTTCATAGACATGGGTGTATTTGCTGGGGAGGGGAGGGGAAGGCAAGGCAAGTGACAAAACTTATGTCACATTCTAGTACACATAATTATCTTCCATGACATTCAGTATGATAAAAATTATAGTGCTACATTACAAATCTGTGCTTTCTGTTTTAATGCAATCCACTCTCTCTATGGTAACTACTGTATGATGAGATTTGCAAAGAACATAACATTAAGCTATGTATCATTCCACATAACTTGCTCTGATTTAAGTTATCTTGCATGTGAATAGCAAAAAAATGTTTTCAGATCTCAAGAAGCACACCTGACTTGACACAGATGAAAATTTGGATTGTCATTAGAGATTTATTGACCAATTGATTTCAGTCCCTTCCAACTATGAATCGAAATATGGCCTGAAGATCTGTTCAAGAAAGTTTGTTAAATGTTGCAATTTCAGAAGGATAAGAGTTATAAACATAGCCTTTTGGTTGTCCCAGCAAAAAGTTTTCAGATCTCAGGGTTTTTTTTAATGACTGTATTTGAGAATATGATTTTGGAATTTATTTTTATTTAGTTCTCTTTCTTTGCTTTAGGTACAAATCACAGCTGTCATTGTGATTCATTTTTGAACATCTGAAATTATATATTATACTCTTCCCACAACCTGGAGTTCAATCCTCATGGGGCTCAAGGTTGACTCAGCCTTCCATCCTTCTGAGGTTGGTAAAATGAGGAACCAGATTGTTGGGGGCAATATGCAAATAATGCTTACATTGTAAACTACCCAGAGAGTGCTGTAAAGTGCTATGAGGTAGTATATATGCCTAAATGTTTATGGAGATTCTCAGTCATCCATGTTATGGTTGTACTAAAAGTGTTTTTTCAAAAGACAGCTGGACTTTGTTTTTCCTTGAAGACATTTTTGTTTCTCATCCAAGAAGCTTTATATCTTTTGGTGTAAGCCTAAAAAAAATGCTATTGCTCTGTTAAGATTAATTATTATTAATAATCTGGCAGGTTTGTAGGATGTTTCTAATAAAGTTGTTTACATCAGATAGTATCAAGCATTTTGTTCCAGGATGAGCACTTACCTGTGGAATAATGAACCCACTTAACACTAATTACTGGTAAGTATTATCTCATCAGATAAACCTTAATAGTTTTAGCAACACACAATTCTAATTGTGTAGAATTACCTGAAAAGAGAGGGATTTTAATGCTTTTAAGTCAATCTTCTCCTGTTGCATGGGAAAAGTTCACATAGTTTTCTAAGCAACATATTTGGAAATTGTTTGCTCTTGTCTACTTCTTCCTAGAGCTGAGTGTGCCTGGGGTAAAGTCACTCAGATGACTTCCCTACCTATGGCAGGAATAGAACTAGTTGGTTTCCCATTCCTGGTATATTGGTCCAATGCCTTAACCACTAACTAAACTGTCTTTGGATATCGATATATAGTATCTGAATATGGGGGGAAGAGAATTTCCCATGCCCTCTATTTTTTTGACATAGCATTTATACAGCTTTGTTATTACAAATATCTTTTTCTTGTTTTTTTGCAAGGACAGTTCATATTTTTCCAACCACAGATAACTTGGATAGAATTTCTTTCTGGAAAGCATTATGACTCAGAAGTACATAAATCTTCCAATGAGACAACCAGGCAGATGTTTTTTTAAAAAAAACACGTCAAGCATTTCAAAGAGTCATTTGTTGCTCCAAAATCTGCAATTATAATTTACAAAGCTTTACTGAATAAAAAATGTATTTTTCAACATTCCAAGTCAACTTGAAAAAGTTGGGAGCTTTTGTTTCTTAGAGAAAAAGACACTTCTTTCAGAAACAAAAGCTCTGTTGAGATATAAAAATAAGTTTGCAGGATGCAGGAAAATTTCTTTAAATGTTTAAACAGTTTTTCTGAGATCTGGAAGATAATATTGAAGTCTGATGTCAATGGCTGAAATATAGCTGTCATCTTCAATGTGATCTGCATTGGTTGCCAATTTGTTCCCTGATTCAAGGTGCTGGTTTTAACCTTTAAAGCTCTTCCTGGCATAGGACTGAGATATTTGAGGGAGTGCCTCTCCCAAATTATATCTTCCTGCCCAATAAGATCTGGGAGAGATGGCATTGGTGAGAGACTGGGAGACTCACTTGGCGAGTCCCAAGAGACATGCCTTCTCTGTCATGGCATCCATCTTATGGAACATTTTCCTCCCTGAAATTAGATTAGCTCCATCCCTTTTGATATTCCAGAAGGCCCTCAAGACTTGGCTATATTGTCAGGCCTGGGTCTCCCAGGCAACCAGAGACTTGCTCAGATTATTCCATTGTTGAGGGAGCTATTTTCCTCTTATATTTTTTCTCACTTTTATGATAGTAATATGGATTTTTGTATTTTATATTTTTGTTTTTATCTGATCGTTGAGTCCTGCTCAGGGTTACTTTTGGTGAGAGGGGTAATTATACAATTTTGATTAATAATCAGTCAAAAGATGATTTGTTTCAGGGAGACTTTGAGCACCGTAGAGAAAAATCTTCATGGGACAAAGCAAAGCGCATGGCCTAAAGGTAGCAGCAAGTTATACTCTCTCTTCAGAATTATTCCAGGAAGAATAAGAAATTGTTGCTTCATGGAATCAATTGCCTAGGCATTTCAAGTCATTTTTAAGGATGTATATGTGAGTAAGCGGCAGTATCTTCAGTGATCCCTTAGTACTTGGAGGATAGAAGGCTATAGGTGATCCAAAGGCTATAGGTTTAAAACAATTCCCAGGAGGCAGAATTCCTGCATTGTGGTGAATGCATGGATATATAGTCATTAAGAACTAAATTTGACTTATCAGATACAAGGAAATGGGATTTATTGGCACGCATCCTACTGTGAAGGAACTCCATCTGAAATATCATATGAGTCAGCATTTGAAATGATTAGATGGATTTAAATTCAATTTAGTAGCATTAATTTCCCCTCAGATTCCTTGGCCACTAACCAAAAAAAAAGCAGCATAGGATACAGTGAAGTTGGGGGGGGGGGTAGTCAAATGAACATTCTGCCTTGAGGTCTTCAAAATGGTATTAAATGTTCATTTAGACACAGAAGCTGCAGTCTGAAGGATTAATTTAAATTATTCCACTGACTGGGCTAATTCAATGGCTATAAAGTCATGATCTCCATGGGAACCTTTCACAGTTTCACTAATTGCACATTTCAGATGCTGCAGTTAAAATCTCTTAGAACAAAAGCTTTCTGCTTCATTGGCTTTTTTGAGTAAAATTCTTCTCTAGCAGAGAGAAATTTGAAAAATGTTAGATTTTTGCACTAAGCTTCTAAATTCTTTCAAATTTAGAAAGAAACCTTGTTTCAAGTAGCGAACCAGTAGACACAATTGAACATAGTGGGAGTTGGTTTTCAGATGTGGTATGTGGAAGTCCTAAAGATTCCTAAAAATTTTGGGATGCATCACTAGAGGGGATCACCAGCAGGGAAAAGGAGGTCCAAATTCCACTTACAGTGTATAGGATTTAGTCAGACCCCATTTGAAATACTGTGTCCAGTTCTGGAGACCTCACTTTAAAAAAGATATAAGTTTGAGCAAGTGATGGACAACAAAAATGGTGCAAGCTCTGAGGGATAAAACGTATCATGAGACATTGGATGAACTGAATAAGTACAGCCTGGAGGACACAAGGGAAAGGGGTGACTTTATTGAAACCTTTAAATATATTAAAGATATAAATAAGGCTCTGGAAGATAGCATTTTCAGTATTAAGCAAAAATCAAAAACATGAAGGCATAATGTCAAACTGACAGGAGGGAAGTTCAAAAGTAATGTTAGAAAGCATTACTTCATAGAAAGAGACCATCTTCCAGTTTAAACATGCTTGGGATAAAACACCTGTCCATCATCTGTCAAAGATTAAAAGATGAAAAATAAAAAAATATATAAATTTTAAAAAAATATCTCAAAGTGCAGCCTTGAGGACCACTAGTCTTTTTCTGCCATCAGTTTTCTATGGTTCTATGGCACTTCTGAACAGGAATTCACCAACAAAATTGCCTGTACCTGTGTTCCTAAGGAGATATCCACAAAATAAATATGTGCTTATTTATATAAGATTTTTATAGTATTTAGGAGAGAGCCAGTGTGGCCTAATGGTTAAGGAGCTGAACTAGGAGCAGTGAAACTACTCTTACCTTAGTCAGGAAAGCCAGCTGGGTGATTTTAGCCAAGTTACATTCTTTATGGGCCAACCACCCACAGAGTAATTCCACCCTGAAGGCATATAACATTTCTACTATTTATTCTCAAACTAACTAATAGGGTCCAGGCTTCAGCATAAAATATGGGAAACAAATGCAGACAAATATACCAATATTGCAAATAAATTTGCAACTTTTTGTTTTGTCATCTTAAACTCCAGAATGCATGCTTTCAACTTGCTACAAGCACCATACTGTACCGAGCTATCTGACCAATTAAAAGACAGCCTTTAATTTTGTTAGAAATGAAACCCTGCAAAAAAGTATCAACCAATTTGTTAGCAAAAAATATTTAGGAATCCTAGCAATCTCTTTGCTAGTTTACTTATTCATGACATCTTTGGTTAACATTTCAAAAACAAGGACTTGAAAGCTTCATTATTGCCTCATTCATTGCCAAAGCAAAAAAGAAATTTGTTACTCTGAAATTTAATATTTCATGCTTTGAAAAAACCCGTATTTGCTTGAATTCATATTGAAAAATAATTGGAGGTGGGAAGTGACAAAAGCAGCATGGTGCCATCACAATAGATTAAAGGAGTGGATGTAGTGTCATGATGATACAACCTGCTATTGCCATTTTGATGAGTCTTTGATCATGCCAATGCCTCCACACCTTTCACAACTGGCATATTCAGGGACAAGACTTCATTCATAATTACTCCTACACAGAATGTATGGCTTGCCCTATATACAGTTTTTAATTCATAAAATGTTTTAAGATATCCCTATTCATGCAGGTGACTGCATACAAGGAGCCAACACGAAACCTTTGTTTCCTCGTACTTTCAGTACTAGGTTTAAGATTATGCATTGTTGTATAAATTGGTATAGATTGAAGGTTATACTTTTGAATTTAGGAATTGTACATAACCAGGAATCTCTCTCTTGGAGCAAAAGTCCAGTACCAAACAAGGACAGGCTGAAAAATCTGTTGATCTTGCTGTAGATAAACAAAGTGTTCATTGTATTTTCCAAGTAGATATGGTATACTAGCTGAATATTCTCTAAGGTAACAATCTTTCATTCCTCACTCCTGTCAGGAACTATAAAGTTGTTTTGAAGATTATTTAGAATCTCTTCCCAATCCAGAACGCAGCAATTAATCTTACAAATACTGGTCAAAAAGCAGTTTCATATCTGTTCTTATGGAGCAAACTTTCATATGTAAAGATTTGGAAAAGCACCAAATATTAATCACCTGACAAAAAATCTCTTTTATATCATGATTTTCCTGCCATTGTAGATGGGAAGCGCTGTTCTCCAAACCTAAAATAGGTTTAGTGTAATCCCAAATCTCAAAGAAAACCAAACCAAATTTCCTCCCCAAGAAACCCAGGAAAATACAAGGCATTCTCGACCTTCTCATATAAAGACATTCTTGTATTACCCCTATTCTTTGGAGCGTTGTATGCAAATCACTTCCACCAACTTTCATACCACCTCGGATAATTTAAGTGACAGTAATTCATACGAACGTACGTAGCCTTTTGTTCATAATTAAATTTACACCTTGGTTTCTCTATGTGTGTGTGTGTAAGTGATAGGTCCAGTATAATAATATATTTTATACATAATAATATATTTTATACATTGTATTTATTTAATTTATGTTAAAATAAATAAAATCCATACAATAAACCCAAAACGCTTCACACAAAATGAAATCTGAAAGCTGCCCTCTTTTTTCTTCGTCTTCACCGAGAGGCTTCTTCTTCCCTAAACTTCTCTGAGCAGCGCTCGCTTCTTGAAAGGGAGGCGGGGTGGGGGGGAGAAAGTTCTGAAAACCGAAACTCGGAAGTCCCACGTGCCAGCCTCCGACGGCCCCCTCTTCTTTTCTTGTCTCTTGCGCTTCCGCGACCCGGCCGTTTGCAGCCTAATGCTTCGGAAACTGCTTCCGGTTCGTGAGGGCCCTGGCTGCCGGGGGTCTGGTTATCGGGGCGGTCTCTTAGAAGTGAGGTAGGGTCGCCGGCGGTTCTTGTCCTTTCTTTGGGTGCCCGATGGGGCTGCCTCGGCTAATAAGCCATTCCTGAAGGGAAGGGATCCCCCCTCCGATTCAGGAAAGGGCAGGCAGCGCGCCGGAGGATCTCCATCCTACATGCTCGCGATCTGCATGCAGGTGGATTTGCTCCCGAGGGGCGTCCGAAGCTCCCAGATAGCCTTTGGGGAGAGAGAGAGAGAGAGAGACAGTCGCTGTAGTTCGGTTTCTGGCTGAGTTTAACGTGCCAGCCTGGCTCGGTCTGACGGGATCTGTCTCGTAAACTTCTACGCCGCGGGGTGCGCTTTCCGCTTGCAAAGAAAATGGGACGAAAGCCCTAGCGCGGGTTAGGTTTAAAAGAGAATTTTGCTACTACCTTTCCTCCCGCTGCTGTCCCCTGCACAAGAGAAGCCGCTTTCTGCAAAACCACCACGTTGTAGTAAGCAGCTCAAACAGTGGTAATTTGCTGAAGGGACAATAGGGTTCCATGGAGAAAATTCTCTCCTGTGCCACATTGTATTGCATTGGGAGTTTGAAACCGATAAAAAGTAGGTGCTTTGCTTCGAGTAGGGTTCCCTCTTATAAATGGTTTGAGTCTTCATTTGCTTGAATCAGATTCCAGTGGTTATTTAGGCAAGGGGTGTCTGGTCTGTCTGCCATTTATATTATTGTTGGTTAAGGGATTGTTAAACTGAGTAGATTTTCTGTATGGTGCTGATGTGTGTGTGGGGGGGGGGGCGGGAAATATAATGCATATATATCAACATGCAGTGCATTCAAATCTCTTTTAAAAGTTCTCTTTTTTTAGAGATTTGAACGCATTGCATGTTTTGCTGATCTGTTGATCTGTATACAAGCGATGTGGTTATGATGTTACTTTCTCTGTCACTTTTTGCCCTCTGATTTCTAAATACCTCTCTATTACACATACTTTCCTAGGAGTCTGCTTTATTAAAGTTATTAAAACACTATTGTGTAAAAGAGAATATAGAAGTCTGTAAGATGTTGCAAAACTAATGTCCTGGAGCGCAATCAGATACGTATATATTGAGAAGTAAATCCCATTAAGTGTGTTGAGGATGACACTCAAGATTAAGTATCTGGATTGTTTGTCCTATTATATTTAAAAAAGGTTAGATATCTGGGATTGTCTGACCATTTTTCTGTTTATTTATTTATTTATTTATTTATTTATTTATTCTGTTTTTTCATAGGATTGTTTTAAACGTATGTTAGAAATATGGCCGTATCTCTCATTATTAAATGGGGTGGGCAAGAATTTTTAATAACTACCTTGTCAGAAGAGGACACAGTGTTGGATCTCAAGCAATCACTCAAAGGACTTACAGGAGTGCTACCAGAACGCCAAAAACTTCTGGGACTTAAAGTAAAAGGTAATCTTCTCCTTGACTTTCTTCATTAAGTGAGGTAGCTGTGATAGTGCTGGTTGTTTAAATGACTAAATGTTAAAGCACTTCTTAAAAAATAATATAACATAAACCCTAGTCCCGTGATGGCGAACCTATGGCACGCATCCCACAGGTGGCACGTGGAGCCTCTGTGGGCACGCGAGCCATCGCCTGGCTCAGCTCCACTACCATGCGCGTGCGCCTCCTGCCAGCCAGCTGATTTTTTCAGTCTCTGGTGCGGGGGTGGGGCGCATCCGGGAGATGCATATGCATGCACGGGGATCTCGCACACATGCGCTGGGCGGGAGGGGGTCTCACGTGCATGCGTGGTTGGGGGAGCACAGGGGGAGCAGTGTGCCCCAGTGCCAAAATGGGAGCGTGGGAGGTTGTGCGCACATGTGTGGAGGGGTGGGGGGAACGGGGGGGTTGCACGCACATGTGTGGGGAGAGCGTGGGGGGTCATGTGTGGGGGCGGGGCATGCGGGGGTATTGCATTATGGGTCTGGGCACATGCGTACAACCCCCCATGGTCCCCCCACTTTTGGCACATGATGGCAAAAAGGTTAGCCATCACTGCCCTAGTCTAAGGTTTATCCCTCATACCCTGTACAAGAAGCAGACTAATGCTTGTGTAATCAACAATAGTCCATCCTCTTTAACAGAATATTCTGGTGATGTATTAATACATAGATAGCTGTTCAGCTAATTTTTTATATGTGCTGTGTGTGTTTGTGTATGTGATATACATGTGTATGTGATACATATATATCTCCATTTCTTTTCAAGGGAGCTTCCTTTCTAATGAAGGCATAGTCATTTATGGGGAAAAAAAATGGAATACAGTTGTAGCATGTTAAAGGGTTAGAAACAACAATGTATCTATCCAACAAATTAAAGAGAAAGACTGCATACTTGTTTATAAAGATCTTGGTTCATTCCCCTTTGGGATTTTCCAATAGTGTATTGGCTGAATGGATTAAAATGATTTATTTATATATTTGTTTCTTAGAGTGACATCCCTTTTTTACTTCATGAACTTAAGGCAGTGTACATACCGTGTTTCCCCAAAAATAAGACCCTGTCCTATATTTTTTTGAACCCTGAAATAAGCGCTTGGCCTTACTGCCATGTGCTCAAAAGCCCGATTGGGCTTATTATCGGGATGTCTTATTTTGGGGGAAACAGGGTAGCATATTTTCCTTAATGTATTTTCCCCAATCCTGTGAAGCAGATTGGACTGAGAGATATTGACTAGGTCATCGTTAGTCGAGTTTTCATGGTTAAATTTGAACCTGGGTTTCTGTGATTCTTGTCAAACACTTAATCACTATACAACAACTCAAATACTCTTTTCAGAGTATTATTTATACTTGGAATCCTAATAGGATTTGGAAATGCGATAGATGGGACAGGGCCATCCTTGAGCGCACAGTACAAATGAGACACAAGTTGAGCTAGTGTCTCCAAGCATGGCAGATCAGAGTCAGCAAACTGCTAAGTCACTGTTGGGACATGGCTAGTCATCCTAGCTAATTTACCTCCACACCACGTTTATGTTTGTGAATTGGGCAGTCATTCCAGTTGAATGAATAAATTGCTTTTAACATCCAAACAAACCAGAATGTGTAAAACAACCAACACTTACAAATTTAGCTGTAACAGTCAGGATTGGAGTTGAAAATTATAAACACATAATTTCTAGGTTATTTAGTTACCTGCATTAGCAGGAAAAGCTGAAAAAAATATTTTGCTTCCAGTAATGTACAGCTTGTTTCTTAATTTTCTACAATGTTTGTATTGGTTGTGATTGCAGTAGTTTTAATATCATTACACAAAGGAGTAAAGTGCAAGTTAACAGGGATTTCAGCAACCTAGGAAAAACAAATGAAATTGCTCAGGATGTAAGCCCCAGCAGTTCTTCAGACCAGCTGTTTTTATTTGAAAAGAAAGAGAAATATTTGTCTGAATGAAACAAAATAAATACCAAGCTGTGTTAGAGAAGCAGCCAAGACAATTCTGATTTATTGAAGCCTTTCCAGCATGCATAGCAGGAAAGTAAATAGCAATAGCACTTAGACTTATATACCGCTTCACAGTGCTTTACAGCCCACTCTAAGTGGTATACAGACTTAGCATATTGCCTCCAACAATCTGGGTCCTCATTTTACCGACCTCGGAAAGATGGAAGTCTGAATCAACTTTGAGCCTAGTGAGACCCGAACTGTATGCATGCATGCATGAAAAACAAACAAACAAACATGACATCTTACCTCAGGGTAACTCTGAGCATCTTTCAATCATTAAAAAAAGTTATATAGAAAGAATTTTGTCAACATTGATTTGTTTTATGTGGTTAAAGGGATGTTTTGCTTCATTGACCTTAATGTGTCAGTGACATTCAAAAATGTCATGCAGAATAAGCAAGAAGAGGAAATTGCACACTGTTACTTAAGAAGTCTAATCTGTTTATATTGCAGGCAAGCCAGCAGAAAATGACGTGAAGCTTGGATCATTAAAATTGAAACCAAATACTAAAATCATGATGATGGGGACTCGTGAGGAAAGTTTGGTAAAATATCTTCTTGTTCTATTAAAGCACAGATACCACTTGCTAATGGCTATAAAACTCACTAAAATGTAACCATCAAAATCATGTTAAAATGATGTAAAGAGCCTGCTTTTGTGAAAACTTTCAGTGTGGTCCTTTGTGTAAGTATTTGCCTTTGCACAATACATATTAATGGACCAAATTTATTATTCTAAATGCAGGATTCCTATATAACATGTGAATTTATGGAATGCAGTAACATTTGCTTTCCATTTTATTTATATCCATGTTCTTTTTGTTGTTGGCAGTAGCCTTTAATTAAATGGCAGCTGCTGATTTCCTGTGAGTGTCTATCAATTCATTCAACCATGTTTACTCTGTTAATTCCTATAGTATGAATAGCTATCAAGAAATCATTGATCTGTAGTTTTCCCCCTCCAAGCGCAGCACTCAAAAAAGCCAAAGAGTCGGCTATTCCTGTGACATTCCATTGTACCCTGCAGCTGATTTCTCCAGGTGGTTACAGATCTAGCCATCTTGGGCTAGCACCTTCACTTATCCTCTTGGGAGTTCCCAGGCTTTCATCTCTTCCCATTGCCCTAGCATGAACAAGTGTAATGGGCCAGTCCTGGCTATAGGGGCTCCACACCATTCACTGATTATACTTCCCTTTTTAATCTCTGTGCAACAAGGCTTTCTAAATAGAGTCCTGAAGTTTTGGGGACTGCTCTTCATGCTTTGCTTTCCCTGCCTTCTTTTTCCTTTTCTAAGCCGTTGGATATTTTTATCAGATATGTAACATTAGGTTGTTTTATGCAGCAACAGAAAAAGTAGTTTTAAGAACTTGAATTAAATAAACGTTATTTGATAAACTAAAAAAAAAAAAAAGAAATCATTGGTCTGGGTTGCAGTCCTTTGATTCTTAAGATCCTGTCGTGAAGGCCATTGGACAAATCCGATTCTCTTTTTCAAGGCCTGTGAGAATGTTCCAACTTGAAAAAAAGAGATTCAGGATTTGTTTCCTTTCTTGGTTTCTGAACAAACATTCCCATTCCTCCTGTCCCAGTAGCACTCTTGAAATAGGAGAGCAAAAGAGAGAGGATTGAGATATGTAACATGTCACAAGATAGGGAGAGGGGAGATATTGCCACCAAGCACTTCTACAGCTCCATGATACTTGTAGAAAGAAATTTAGTACAACACTTGACTTGGGCTGAACTTTTTCTCCCATTGATTGAAGTGGGAAAGATTTAAAAAAATTGGAGCCTTTAATATTAAATGTGTAGACTGGATTTCCCCTTTTCTTCCCACATGGACCAAGATCCAAGTTCTGTGAGAGTTCCAGATGTTTGAATGGTAATCTGAGTTTATACTTTGCTTATAAATCCCAGGATTTTTAAATGCTAAAAAGACTGCAGCTGATTTATTTGCAGGAACAATCAAGTAAGAGTGAAGGGATGCTATGCTGCAGCAGACAAATCATTTCATAGTAAGCCAAGGCTCCGTGGCTGTGTGGCTGCTTCTTTCTTTCTTTTTTCTTTTTTGGGTAATCCACCAAATTAGGCAAACACATGACTATTTCTGTGCTAATTTGTTTAAAAAATTACCTTCATTATAGGAAGATGTCCTCGGGCCACCTCCTGATAATGAAGATGTAGTCAATGATTTTGATATTGAAGAGGAAGTTGTTGAAGTAGAAAATCGGTGAGTCACGGAGTAATAAGTGAATGACTAGCTAAAGAAACTACAGCTATATGATGCTTATATTGTTTGTGTTTAGGGAGGAGAATCTGCTGAAAATCTCCCGCAGAGTTAAGGAGTACAAAATAGAAATACTGAATCCTCCAAGAGAAGGGAAGAAATTGTTGGTCCTTGATGTTGACTACACATTGTTTGGTAAGTCATTAACCTTAGGTTGAAACTATTACTCGCTGTTTAATGTTGTATATCTTGATTTTACTGTATACTTTATAGCTCTTACAGTATGGTTTACAACAGGGGTGTCAAATTCAATTTCATTGAGGGATGCATCAGGGTTGTGTTTGACCTTGGGGGGCTGGGTGGGCATGGCTGGGGTGGGCATGACTAGCTCAACGTCACTCATGTCAGGGGCACCTGTGGAGGCCCAAGTTCTCTGCCAGCGAAAACGGGCTCCTGAGCTCCATTTTTGATTGTGATGGCCTCCTGCATCCCTCTTCCCACAAAAACAGCTTGCCAGGGCTGCCTGCGGCCCTCCCGAGCTCAGTTTTCACTGGCAGAGGCACTTCAGGCCAGTTCTTCACTGTTTCCAGGGTGGCCCCATGGACCAGATCTAAGCATCCCACGGGCCGGATCCGGCCCCTGTGCCTTGAATTTGACACCCCTGGTTTACAATAATAATTACTATATTTCAAATAGTGATCGTTTGAATAGTAGCAAGCAGATCATGGTGACAACATAAAACCATAAGATAGCAAGCAACATGAAACAAACGTTTTAGGCATCTTTTGAAAAACCACCAGTGAGGGGAATATAAACATATTTAAGTGAAATAATTTCAATAAGTCAAATTGATTATGTAAATATTTCATCTGTTAAGAGCCTTGGTGGCGCAGCAGACTAAAGCACTGTTAAGTAACACCAGCTGCCTGCAATTACTGCAAGTTCAAATCTCACCAGGCTCAAGGTTGACTCAGCCTTCCATCCTTTCGAGGTAGGTAAAATGAGGACCCGGATTGTGGGGGCAATAAACTGACTTTGTATAAAAAAGAACACTGCTTCGGGAGGGCCCGAAAGCCCTATTAAGCAGGTATATACAAAAGTATGAAGGCTATTGCTTAACGCATTGTAAGCTGCCCTGAGTCTCCGGAAAAGGGCGGCATATAAATCGAACCAATAAATAAATAAATAAATAAATCTCCTGTTACCTGCTAATCCAATGGCCCTTAATCCACAGCTGTAAAATATGTTCTCTAAAGCTAATTGTATACATATGGTTAGTTCTTTGGTAAACATATGAGTCAAGGCTTTAAAGATAAAATGCTGAACATAAAAGCAAGCAGGCAGTCAATTGGTTGCAGTCATGCTTTTTAAATGTATGCTTACTCTTTATAACGCAGGGGGAAAACACTGATAACAGTAATTTCATATATCATATCACAGTAAGCATTATAAATCTCTGTGAGATAGCTTTAATTAAGTAATATTTAAATTCAGATGTAAACAAAAATCAGAAATCAATAGATCAGTTGAAACAATGTGTACAGATCGTGATTCCAGGTAATCAAAGTTTAGCTCCCTGTTTTAGATGCAACAGAGATAGAACCTAAACTAACAAGAATCTATGCTGACGATAGTATATGTAAAAAAAGGTGAAAAACTGGTGATCAAAAATCCCCAGGCAATAAGCTGGGGATCAACATTGAAATCTGATTTAACAACTTGGGCGTGTCACATCCACAGGGTAGTTATCTTATTTTTTTTAATTAAAAGTTTTACTTTTAATTAAAAACGAAATGAAAAGTAAGAGAAAGAAAAAATGTAGGAAGTACAAAAACAAAATAGAAAGTTCCTTTGCAGCAAATATAAGCAAAATTACAAAATAATCTCTTAAATGCTCTTTCTTTTCTATTTTCCAGGATATTTTTCCTAATCACCCAAACCACTTTTTCATTTTATGCAATACGTTTCTAGGGTTTCTAGGGAATTCTAGGTTTCCAGACAGCCATAAATGTAATGTTTTCTCTCTAAGCAAAGAAGTTAATTTAGCCATCTCTGTAAGGATTTTTTAAAGATTTTTTTTTATTCCACCGTTATTATTTTTATAAATAACTCAAAGTGGTGAAGATACCTAATATTCCTTCCTTCTTCTATTATCCCTACAACAACAATCCTGAGAGGTGAGTTAGGTTGAGAGCGAGCGCAACTGGCCCAAAGTCACCCAGCTGGCTTTTATGCCTAAATTAGGGCTGGAACTCAGTCTCCTGGTTTCTAGTTTGATGCATTAACTGCCAGACTAGTTGCAATATGTTCACAAACTATTACTCCATTGTAGTACTTTTCCACTTTTAAGCTTACAGTAATCTCACTCCAGTTATCATATATTTTTAAAAATCATTATTAGGCTGGTATAAAGTAATTTAGTTTCACTCTGTGGAATAGTGATTCTTTGTGTTGAAGTGAGGAGGCAGTGTTTTGCCTTAAACTACTTCAGGTCCGGTACTGCAGAAGAAGACTCCCATCTCCCCCAAACTAGCTGAAATGGAACCAAGGCTGTTCGGCATTGGCAATTACTGTAGGGATTGTCTAGACCAGGTGTGTAGTCATGGCGATGTGATGTGTCATATCGGGTCTTTTTTCCCTTTTGCTAAATCGGGTGTGGCCACCGTGTGACACATCCAGCCTGCAAGCCGAGAGTCTGACAGCTCTGTCCACACTGTGTTCCAGAAAACCTCCAAGACACACTGTAAAATTGTTTATAGGATTCACTAAAACTGCCCATCTTGGAAGACTTTTTTGGTGCTTTTACTCCAAGCTGTCCAGCTTTAGCTCATAGTGAGGAAACTGCATGTAATGTGGCTTTAAGTAGTCAACATGGGAAACCTTGGTCACAGTGAGAGCACTCCAGGTTTGATGGCATAGCATGGAACTGATGGTTGCTATGCATATAGTTCCGCATTTTGATGCAATATTTCGAGCAGTATACCTTTCAGATAAATTTAAATTCTACCTATCAGCTGGTATGGAGGTAAGAGATTGGAATTTTTCCTCCTTTCCCTTCTCTGCAAAGCTCTGATTTGTAGTATTTTAGGCTTTTTTAAAAAAAAACTGCAACTAGCTTAGGTCAGAATGTCAATCTACAGGGATGATGTTCAAAGAAAATTTGAACGGAGTCAAATGAATCAGACAACTTTCTTTTCAGATCACAGGTCATGTGCAGAAACAGGAATTGAGTTGATGAGGCCCTACCTTCATGAGTTTCTGACCTCTGCTTATGAAGATTATGATATTGTGATTTGGTGTAAGTCATTTACTTTACAAACAGAAATGATTTTATTACTTGCCATTTTTATTTGCAATGCATGAGTCTGATGATACATATTGAAACTTATGTTTCCATCTTTTTTTGGTGTTCAGTCTTTCTGTTACATTTAATCCTGCTTAATTTTGGGCAGTTGGACAAACTATGTTGACAAAAAATACAGCTGGGGGGGGGGGATTAGAAATTCCTTTGGAAAGTAAACCAGAAATACTGCACTTTGCCCAAGACATTGGGAATGATACATTATTCATAATTGGCAGATTCCCTGTGCCTTATCATTCCTTATTACAAACTGCTTTGAAAGCTTTCCTTGATCTCCAAGTAGCGTAGTTGCTCTGGTCGAAGAGCGAGAAAGAGGTGACGGGGTGTGATTCCAATTTTTTAAAAAGATGTGCAGTTTTTAGATGGTTCTTTGAATCTAGACCATGAGGCATCACTCTCAGCACTAGTTATTGTGTCATTTATCTATTATTCTCTTGGTCTTCATATTTTATAAAATTATGTCTTAATGCTTCCTCCTGATTTATATTAAAGTGAATGTTATTAAAGTGAATGGGCAATAGAATAAGTCTATACTTTACATATACCCTTTGGATTGTTTCTATATTTATTGATATGTTCATTTATTCATTTATGGTGGTATTATATGTTTTCTATCTCTATCGACAATCAATTGGCTTCTAGCTAGGAGTTTTGATACCTCTTCCAATACATCTGAGTAGTACCAGGTTGAGGAAAGCTTTCTTAGAAATATCCAGAATCATCAAATAAGTAAAACTAGCTGCAGGGATGCACAGCTCCTTCTTAATAACTGGTGGGCAAACTCATTGGGCTTGAATAGGTAGGGTGATTTCTTAATAATAAGAGAGTGAAAGCTAAATTTAAAAATATCAAAATAATTACCCTTATTTTAAAAACAGAACAACTTTTCATTTTATAATTTCTTTTTCTACTTCAGCTGCGACTAATATGAAATGGATTGAAGCCAAAATGAAAGTAAGTATTCCATATGCCTTTCTCTTTATAATGTTCTATTTAGATTGTTTAGAATTTGTGTGGTTTTTAAAATGATCTATTCACAAAATTCTAAATTTATTTTAAATTAGAATACCAAATTCTGGTGTTGATAAACTGACGTAAGTAAATCCATTGGCTTAGATCCTTACATTTCCACAAATAATGTATTTTAATTCTACAGATTGGAAGTTCCTGCAAATAAATAGACAAGGAGTTCATTTTTCACCAATTCTCCATTTATGCCTTAGAAATATCCTTGTTGTTTGAACTATTTGGAAGGTGGTCTTGTGAGGTGTAGGGGAGCAAAGAAATTGACAAAAATTAACCCTCTTTTTAACCACAGGACCTCAATTCAGTCAGATTATTTTCTGAATAAAAAGGACCTTCCTTCTGAGGAGTTGAATTCTGAATCCAGGTCATTGGAGAACTTTTCGTAGGAGAATTCATGGGATTGTTATTTCTCATATATTTCCTAGTAAAGATTAACAGCCAATGTACTCTCATATGTTGGCCTATAGTTAAATGCCAAAATAGTAGCAGAGTCTGGAGTTAAATCTGTAGGAATCTAATAACTACTCACCACCAGTTCCTGAAATCATCCTACATTTTTCCCTTCTGGAGCAGATATTTCCCAATAGATCCCTCAAGCCTAACCTGTAGACATAGTTCCCAGAGAAACATTCCCATATATACATCTGAAGAATGGGGAAAATAACAAGAATGTCCTTTTCTTTGCTGTGCCCATTTTTCAGCCCAGCTGGCTTCTCACCATATTAAATAATGTATTTGGCAGGACTTCATGTAATCCACGACATAATTTTCCAGAGGTCCTAATTCAGACAGAGCCATGCAAAATCACTCTAGCTTGTCACTTACTCAGCTCCTCACAGACTATATGTAAAAAGCCTAAACCTATTTCTATTCCTGCAGCCTGTTTGGAACTACAGGAATAATGCAGCTGTATTTGCAGACCACAGTCAATGGCTATGGTTGGTGCATTGGAAGTTCTGGAAACAGGATGTATGGCCAGCTTTAGACACTGCCAATAAAAATAGGAGAATGTTGTTTTATTTGAAATATCTTAATTGCTTTCACAAATTGGGATATCTGCATATAGCCATGATAGAAAATGTGTCCTATTTTTAATCTTTAACAATTAACAGTTTGTGAATGTATAATCAGGAATGAAAGAAGGTATTTTACTTAAATGAGATCAGTCCACTATAGAGTTTCTCTGTGAAAGAGATGGGCAATTCTTAAATATGACAATTAGTTTAGGTGATAATAGTAGTTGCAGACGAATCAAAAGCTACCATTAAGCAGTTTATCTTACTTTAAAACTACCATAACTTTGTGTAATACTTAATAAACTTGTTCATAAGATTTGTGCTTTTACATGACATCATTGAACATTCTTAGCTTTTGAATGCACTGAGCACTTCTATATAAACATGGGTAGCACTTTTATATACAATATACAGTATATAACCAAGCCCAAAGGACTGCTAGGTGTTTTGGCATCCCATTCCTGAAGCCAAGCACATTTTCAAGCATTTCCCATCAAAACATGGTCTCTGACTTGACAATAGTAGTCATTCCAACTAGGTGCAAAAATGAAGCTGTTCTGATGTATGGAAAGAGCACTGTCTCTTGTAAATAGTTTGTTACACAAAAAAAATGTCAAGCTGCTCAAACATGTTGATTTTTAAAAAAAGAAATTGTTAAAGCACCTTTTTCTTTGAACATTAGAATGGCCTTTTGTAAAGTAATCTTTTTATATTTCCGATCTTTTCAAAATGTGCCTGTAAATAACCTGAGAAATAAAAATAAAATGAAGAGTGTCTTCTATTGACTATAATAACTTAGTAAAGCAGCCAATTCTGTTCCTTTCATTGACTGCAATGCCACAATTTGTAGGTACAAATTGGGCAGCCTATACATTTTTATAAACAAACAAGCAAACAAGGCCTGCCTGCCTTCCAACCCTAACCCTTCACAGTCTCTTTCAAGAGAGGAGTGGACATTTATTTTAACATGTTTTAGCTAGTATTTTTTTTATCTCTCTTATTTGTTAGGCAAATTGTTTCTGGTTTCTGAATTACAGCAGAGAGGAAGTTAGTGCACAAAATTTCAATCATTGTTCTTTTTGCATTCCAGGAGCTGGGAGTAAGCACCAATGCAAACTACAAGATAACCTTCATGTTGGATAGTGCTGCCATGATAACTGTACACACCCCAAGGCGAGGCTTAATTGATGTATGAGCAATTACTTTTCTATAGAGGGGATATTTTCTCAATTTTTAGAAGTCTGTTTATTTAGGTAGTCTTATTTATTTATTTTATAAAATGTGGATTAAGCACCCAATGACTCCCAGTCAAACCTTTTCCATCAGCACTATGTCTAAAAGATTATTGTATGCAATCCTCAGGGATTAGAGTATATAGTTCAGTTATTGGTATCTCCAAAGTGGGAACTCCACAGTAAAATAATTTAAGGAGCAATCATTTTAGATGATTGAAGTATTCAATACAAATGTACACTTTTAAGGACTGTGCAATTTGTTTTGTCTGCTTGAGGCATCTGGATTGCAGTATATATCTTGTAGAAAGGGAGGGAGATGCTTGAACAACTTTAAAAAGTGAGACAAGCTGCAGTTAATTCTCAAATTTCCCAAATTAATGCTGTGATGAATTACAGAGTTGGAGATCTTATCATCACATATTTCATTTTAAAGATTACTTTGGAATAAATTCTATTAAATTCAGTGATATGTATTCCGAGATAGTGAGTAGACAATTGCAGACTTAAGGTTCCTAAAATTGTTTAACTCAGGAATTTTAACTTGATTTTCTTCTAACTTTGCTTCTATAGGTGAAACCTCTAGGAGTTATATGGGGCAAATTTTCAGAGTTTTACAACAAGAAAAATACTATTATGTTTGATGACATTGGTCGAAATTTTCTGATGAACCCACAGAATGGACTAAAGGTAATTTTTTATTTAGAAAAAAATATCAGCTGACTAAAAAAGGTAAACTCGGGTAGATTTATATTTGAACAGTTTTGATGCTTTCATTGGAACCAGTCTTCAATCCTGCCAGCATTGTTGCTACTAGGAGGGTTGTTTCCTTTTTTTTTATGCCACTATCTACATAAATCCCTCTATTATGTTAAAACAACAGTATGGGGACATGGGTTCTGTTCTGAGCCTTAGTGGCTAAGTATTCCCAGTGATGGCTAACCTTTTCCGGACCAAGTGCCCAAAGCGCATGCGCGCACCCCCCCAAAATGCAATATGCACGCATCCCCTGCATGTGCTTCCTGTATGGATTCATGGATTCCCTGCATGCACCTTGACCCTCATTCATGCCTGCATGGCGCACACATGCGTCCCGCCCCACGCATGCAAACCCACGCATGCTTGCACGGCCCCCTGCATGCGCCCCACCCGCCATGCATGTGCAGCACAGACCTGAAGACCAGCTGGGGGCAGGAGGCACAGCAGAGCTGAGTTGGGGCGATGGCTCGCATGCCCACAGAGAGGACGCTGTGTGGCACCTCTGGCATGTGTGCCATAGGTTCACTGTCACGGGTATATCCAATCTGATATCGGAAAGAAAGACTTAAGTGAACTAGATCTCCGTGATCCTATTCCAGCACCTCACCCACTGACATCACACTGTCTTTCTACTTACAATAATTTCACCAAGTTCTTTTAGAATTTGTGCAACTACTTCTGAGTAAGGCCACATTGTACTTTACTATTAACTTTTGGGTACAGAATGTGGTAAAAACCGTTTTGGTGCTAGCACTGATGCAATTTTTTAAAGTGCTCTTTTTTTTCCAGCTATGGAAAATATGGCAGGTACCCCTGATGGGCAGTAGCTAGTTTGGAGGAAGGCATGTGGGATTTTAACAAAACACTATGTTAGGTATGTTAAACCTATTTAATACAAATAACAAGAAAAATCACACAATTTTTCCAAAAGCTGCTACTTTTTTGGTGGCTGTGGGTTGCCTTTTCCTGATTCAGAATGCGTAAAGCATTTCAAATCTTCCCACAAACTTGTCCAGAATATTAATTTGGTATATTATGTGCACATTAAAAAATGGGGAGCTGAAAGGCTTACATAACACTTTTTGTTAGTTGATAGGAATTAAGGAGTTGAAACAAGTAAATAAATAATATAGTATATAGTACTGCAGCTTTAGCTGCTGTACAACAACTATTTTCTGATTTATGTAAAATATATATGTAATGGCAATTGTTTGATATAATTGAATAATTCAACAGCATTTTGTAACAGCATTACTGTTATTTTGCTAGTAACTGGTAGAAGTTTGTACCTGCTGATGTTAAAATATTCCTGTCAGAAGGGTTATTTAATTGGGGATAAATTTGTTCTGAGCAGAATAAAAGTGTGTGGCATACATGTTCTGAAATGACTGGTAAAATTGCAGATTTGTGTCTTCCCATCCTCAAATTTGACAGGACTTTAGGAAGATGTTTTACTTGGCTGTCACGATGCAAGCTAGTATTGCCTTCCTAATCTCTCTAGTTTTGGGAAAATATAGCCAATGAATGGATATAACCTTAAAATCAGTGATCGTATGGAGGGAAACTTGATAGAGCGCAACACTGACAGAATAATAAAAGTGTTTCCTTCTGGGGGAAAAAACAAGCAGTGTTCAGATTTTATTGACAGCAAGACAAATTGTGGGTGACTGCTTATGGGAATGTTGCTGTAGGAGGAATTAAGACCAGATGTTTTACTAGATACAGCAAATTTTAATTAGCTGTTCCATAGAGCATTAATTTATTGTCATCAAGGCTTAATAAACATGACAAGTGGCTGGGATAAGTTTTATAATCCTCTTAGAAGGACATGGAACCTGGTTGAAACTATTGCAACAAAGGTAATAATAGTTCCTGTTCCAGTTAATTTTTGTTCTTTGCAATTAAATTTACATGGTGTACTTTTTCCTCCTCCTAAGTCACAGACTGTTAGGTTCATGGAGAAGCCAAACCTGTATTTATTTAATTTGGTAGAGCAAGTACTTTGAATACACAATTCTGTCCCATCTCAAGCTGCCCCTGAGGATTATCCAGAAGCTACGGCTAGTCCAGAATGTGGCAGCGCAGGCAGTGTTGGGTTTCTCACATTATGCTCATGTGACCCCACTGCTTTGCAGACTATACTGGTTACCAGTCAGCTTCCAGGTGAATTCAAGGTACTTCAGGGTTCTCATAACATAGGGCCAGGATAGCTGAAGGATTTCCAATCTCCAATTGTTAATGTTCCCATCCAATATGGTCAAGTAGAATGGGTGTGCTCTTGATCTCATCAATTAAATGGCATCATCTTGTGTCATCTTCTCTGTTCCAATGCCTGCCTTCTGAAACAACACCCCCTCCCAAAGTTCATATGACTCCCATCATAATAACATTTAAATTGAGACAAGTTGTCATAAGGCTATTTTCATCATTATAATAGAAGAGAATATACATAGCTCACAGTTGAGCTATGGAGTCTTTGGTACTCTCTGAGATTCATTCAGAAGGGGGAAACCTCACACTCACTAGCACTGGTGAAGTTAACCTAATCATGTAACCAAATATCTACAACAAACAACCAAGCTCAGAGAGCACCAAAAACTTCATTCTCTCGTGGGGCTTGCATATATTTGATTGGAAGGAAAATAGTGTATTATAGCTCTGCTACAATCTGATGACTGTACACTGGAGGGCAGTCTTGCTCTCTAAGCAACAAGTCAGAGTAGCCAATGTTCTCTGTGAGAATGATGCAAAATGGAAAGCTGGTAAAGTTAAAAGGAAGTTTATTTCTGGAATGAGCTTGCAGTAAGTGATTACATTTGAACAATAGTCCATGCAGTACTGTTTTTGTGTTCCTTTATCTGACATGCAATTGTATTTTCTGTCCAATACATAGAGGCAATTATTTACACTAGTTTAGCTGGTTTGAATATAACGGGTGTTGTTCAACGTATCTAGCTGATGCAAATTCTCAAATATAGAATGCCAGGCTTCTGTACTCTCACATGCAAAACCTAGTGGCAAAACCTTTTTATGGCAAGTACAGTTTTTGTTAGAAAGGTTCAATCAAAGTCCCATGCAAAAGGAAATTATTCTTGCTCTCAAGTTGCAATATGCTGCCTCATGGCTAATTTAAGTGCGTGTACAGTATTAGTAAAAAAAATATATTATGCATCTGCCTGGATCTTTGAGTTGCTGCATGGATATGACTAGTACACAGGAGCATATCCAAGGTCCTTTGCACAGGATGCTCAGGATTTGTTGATCGTGGTGAGAGCGTAAGAGATCATTATGATCTGAGGTGGGAGGTTGGAGATTGGCTGAATTTAAACTGTGCCACTGATCAGCTAAAGCTGATCTACGAGATTAGGCTGCAAAATAGACCATCCACCATGTTAGTATACTCTTTATGTAATTAACCCCCATTTTATTTTTTGGTCAACAGATAAAACCCTTCATGAAGGCACATTTAAACAGAGATAAAGATAAAGAGCTTTTAAAACTTACTCAGTATCTCAAGGAAATAGCAAAATTAGATGACTTTTTGGAGTTGAACCACAAACACTGGGAAAGGTAAAGATTATGTAATTTGATATATAAGTGAATTAGGATTGGTCCTGAGATGTGTATTGCCTTAAAATTGTTAGAGAAGAGTTGCATCTTTGGCCATGAAGTAAAGTGCACTTGTGTTTGTTTTTTAGAATTCACATTCAAATGTTTAGGGAAATGAAAAAAAGACAATCACATGTTCTGCAACCAGATCCACATCTTTTTCTTTCCCTGGTTGAATGGAACAATTTGAAGGGAAGTTGTAGGTATGCTGAGTTGAACTTAATTTCAGTCCTTCCTAGAATTTGGCTCCTCAGTGCAATAGACCATATTTACAGCACCTCTTCAGATCTTCCTTCTCAGTGCCAAGAGATTTGGGAAAAATGTGTTCATCACACATTGCCTTGTAAGCTCTCTACAGATACACTTTTGAGTGTCTAAATAGGGCCAATATCATAACTGGAGGGTTGAAATGAAGCTGCCATTGCCAATCTGCCAATCAGCAGACTGTCTTCAGTGACCTTGGTGGAATCTGGTATCTGTTCTGTTCTTTGTTGGCTTTGGTTGAGGAAATGGGATCTCTCAGAATTCTGTACATGACTTGGCAGTACATGAGATTGAAGTGTAGTTGACTCAAGTGAAAAGCCATACCAAGCCCTTTACTAAAACTGTGAAGGAACATTATCCAAAGTGATGTGCTATTTCCCTTCCCATTATGGTTCTGAAGGCTACATGGTACCCAATCTGAAATGAATACATACATTAATCCAATATATATGTTTCCAGAATATCAATCAGCTCAGTAGCAGTTGTATCTGTTTGAAGTGCCCAGTGTTTCTGATTATGTGCATCATGTTAATGGGGAATTATATTTCATGTTATAAATACACAATGTTTTGATTTCTTTCAGGTACCTCTCAAAGAAACAAGGACAGTAATTTTAATTTTGTGATGCTGAAACCAAACAGAAGATAGAGATCTTTGATCCTGTATAAGCTAGAATAAAGTAGTGCTGGACACTGACTTAATCCACTTGAGTGACTCTTACACCTGGCCTTTTGGTTTGTACTGGTCTCTTTCGTGAAGATCAGTGCTGACAAAATAAAGGAAAAGTAAACTCGGAGATAACCTTATCTCTGAGACTATGTAGAACAATCTCCTTCTTACTGCTATTGTAGTATTGCCAAAAGTTTGAAGATTGTATTGTTTTTCATGGGGTGGGGGATAGAAAATAATTATTCAGTCTATCAGTACTGTAAATCAATTTCCAAATTCTGATCTTGACCATGGAGCCAGTTTTTTTGTATTCTCAGTTTGAGAAACAAGTACATTTCATGTTATGGTATTTAAGTTTATGAATTATAAATTGTCTGATTATGTAATGGTTTGTTAAGTGTTCCTTTTGTGCAGGAAAGCACTATCAAGAGGGAAATATACCTTCATGCGCAGATCTCAATGACAAGATCCTTTATACAAAATGTTTCAAATAAGAGAAAGGATTTAAACCTGAAGAGAACCAGGATTAACTTCTTAAAAGATGAACATTTGTTGTTCTATTCTAAATTAATCTTCTTCAGGATACAAGTGCTGTCAGTGACAACATTCAGCAACAATTGTTCTAAAGCATCACATAATTTGTGCTGCTTTAGCCCACACTGTGGAAGTATGATAAATATTGACCGATAGTCCCTCACTGTGCTATTCTTATGCTCAAAAGCAGGTTGCCTGTTTCAAATTAAGATAACAAAATAGTTCTGAAGAAAGTAGAACAGGCATGCTAATATGAAAAATGATAATAAATGCATTTCTTAAAATTGGTGTCCTGTCATTCTTAATTTTATAACAGAAACTCAGCTTTAAGGAGTTAAGTAATATTTGATTTTAATGGTCAGTAGTGGTTCAGTCTTTGTGATATGTTCTTGCTTGAATCTAAGAAACTCTTGAGGGAGACATGAAACATACATCAGTCATTCAGAGACTCAAATGCTAAGATGTGTTTTTTGGTGGATTCCTTTGCCACTGAGCTATGGCTTTGCCAGAAATTCAAAGCACGAGTTTAGCTAACAATTCAATTGAAACATGGATTGTTTCTTGAGATCAGCAGAAGTAAAACCTCTAGGGTAGGGATGCAAACCATGTATATAGCGTTATGTAAATTGGAATATGTTTGATTGATCATGAGAGGGCGGATTCTGTGAAGTAAGGTGGTTGGAACTATGAAAACAATGATACATTGAGAAAACAAAGACAATATTTATAAGCTTGGTTACTTTTATGAGCTTAAACACATAAACTTTACCTCATATTGACTTTGCTTACCAGAGCCTTTGTTTGCTTCTAGTATCGTCCAGCATTATCAATGTTCTTTAGCCTTCTAACTGTTTTATTGGTGAGCGGAACAGGTTTTATGGTTTATCAAGTCCTTGAAAAGATACTTTAGGGAGTGGCTTGGTTTGCTTTTCCTAACAAATGCCACATTTCCCATGCACATTAAAGAACCCTTAATTTTTCTTCTCTTCAAAATTTATTGCAAAACATCCTATATTTTTAAAAACATTAGTTTCTAATTAGTTATCAGCTTCTCCAAAATTTGTTCAACTTGTTTTTCCATGAATTCTCACCAATCAGCAAATTGTAGGTGGGGCCATAAGCTGTTGTCTTAGATGTATGAATGAATCATGCAGCATTGGTGTGACTAAACAATCCTCCAGCTGTAAAAAGAAGCTGTCCAACATTGAGTCACTCAGACTGTTGTAATGCAATGTTGGATGTCTGGCTTCATAGGATTATAACTTGTAGTATTCTCAGCCACTGTGAATTAGAATCCAATTCAATTAGAAGGCACAGATTTGGGGAAGTTTGTAGAGACCTGTAAGTATTCTTTTCTCCTCTAAAGCCCGTGTTGGTTTGCCCTCAGTTTTACCTAAAAAATTGGAAAATTTGTGTCGTAATTTCCAATATAGTTTGCATCTACTACATCCCCAGTCAAGTTCTCTATCTGGATGAAAGCAAGCACATGCATCATTTAATACAGCCAATGAAAAATATGGCTTGATATTTACCAAACATCAGCAAAGATTGAAAAAAAACCCGAGTTTATTGTGAAAGCTTAATGTAGAAATTCAAAGAATTTACAGTATCTATATCCCCATATCAAAATACACAGGACTTTCCATAATCATGGTGAGCAATACTGTGTGTGATTAGCATGGTCAATCCTAAAGCGGCTTAATTCTTTTAGATATATATCCATAGAAAATAGATACCACGTGATCCTTTCTGTATTCTCTACTATGAATGAAATTATTTAACCAATGGACATGACATATCCAAATAAGCTTCCGTTAATAAGGTACTACAATGTACTTTTTCTGTGTATTTGCAGAATATCTTAGAAAGGTAGCAGTTGCTTTGGATATATTGGTTTGATCAGTTGCCTAGATGTCTCTTGCAGTTCTACTATTTGAAAGCAGATTCTTCTGCCACATACAGAAAATTGGATTGTTTGTTGTTTATTTATTTAATTGTTGAATTTATTTGCTGCTCATCTCATAGCAAATGAGCCTGGACAGCTTCCAGCATTAAAACATTAAAATCCTAACAAATATCTTTAAAAGAATAAAAATAAAGATCCCAATCAAGATAAAATATAGTTAAAAGATGGGGAGGGAAGGAACACAATACACCGGGGGAGGGGGGAGGGATTGCCTCTTAATTCAACTACCTCCTCCAATGCGATGTTATGGCCCCAGGCCATATAGCAGAGCCAGTCTTCAGGCTCCTACAAAAAGACAGAAGGATGGGAACCAATCACCTTAGTGTAAAATGTTCCAAAGTGCAGGAGCCATGGCAGAGAAAGCCCTTCTCCTGGATCCCATTTGTTTATTTCCACAAATGACAATTTTCTGCCTTTGAGCTTTATAAAAAGTGAAATCTGATTTGCAATGAGTCCTTCAGTGTTAAGTTTTCTGGATGATCCCGTATGGAATGATTCCAATCACTTTATTTGCTGTGGTGCAGCCAAGGGCAAAAGTCCTTTTTCAGATATAAAGTTATTAACAGTTTTCCAGTAATTAATTAGTAAACTTCAAAACTGACTAAGGAGTTCTCAGGGCATATTTAATAGCCCGACATTTTACACAGTGGGTTGTAAATGTGTATATACTTTAGAGAAGTGTTTCTTAACCTTGGTGACTTGTGGACTTCAACTTCCACAATTCCCCAGCCAGCTTCTTAGGAGTGAATGACACTCAGTTTTATATAGATTGGCGTACAGTAAAAGAGTAAGACCTAAATCTACAACTTCCTTTTGTTTGGCAAACCTGGGTTTTTGTGGTTTTTTTAAGGAACTGACTCTTCCCTTCCAAACAATACAGCCTATACTCATTTTTCCATTGTACTTAATGAAATCCATTCTACATTCTACACTTAATGGTATTATGAACTATTCTTCTTAGTAGATTTCCTTGATGTGGGGACAAGAAGACTGGGAAATGTGAGAAAATTAGTATTCTATGAAAAACGATATTGTTTGTAAAATTCTGCAACCAAATAAGAGTGAGTCCATGAGAAAATGTCAAGTTTAGAAATACATGTTAAGAATACAGTAGTAATTTTGTACATTGTGCCATTTATTTTTTGAAAATTTTGTGAATTTCAGAATGTTCTGAAAGAGATCCATCCTTCCATCCAAGAATTGTTGCACTAGCCATTTAAAGATCAACAAATGTGAAATGGTTTATCTCTTTGATTCAGTTAACTGAATCTGTACATACGATAGGTACACACACATACTTTAAACTCTATAATATACTGCAATCTCTTTCAAGGTGTGCAACTTCTGTTTTTAGTGAAAAATAAGAATTTCTCCCAGTCTCTAACACTTAATCAGCAAATAAGCACTGAGGTACAGTGAATAGAACCAGAAATGTCTTATGATAATAAAATATTGACAAAAGTTGCTGAAGAAATTGGCAAAAAAGCAAAAGAACGGGTATCTTCAATTTTACCATCGTAACAACCCTTACAAAAGGTTAAGCTGAGATAATTACTGGCCCAAGGTTAACCAGTGAGTTTCCATAGTTCAATGGGAATTTGAACTTGGTTTATAAAAATTCTGTGTGTGCAATTCCATACCATCAGGAAACCAGATATGCTTCTGTGCCGTTTCTCTGAACAAAGATTAGTAATATTATTAAGGTAATGATGAGCCCACATTCCTAATGATGGGTGTTCTTCCATTTGTGACAGTAGTCAAAGTAGCTACAGCTTAATTAGATCCTTGGTTTGGTTTGTTTTCTGTTTATATATTTACATATATATATATGTAAAGATAAGGTTTCCCCTATCCAGTCATTTCTGACACTAGGGGCCAGTTCTCATCTCTATTTCTTAGCTGAGGGAGCCACACCATATCAAGTAGTTCAGCATGAATTTTACTTAATCGCTAGGTAAAGGTACATATTAAAATGATTGATAAATAAATAAAGTTTAATATTTTTATATTTAGTAAATATAATTGTGGATGTTTACATAAACTTAATTGCATGTATATATTACTGGGTTTCCCTGAAAATAAGCCCTACCCCAAAAATAAGCCCTAGTGAATGGGGATGGGCGTGGCCAGCAAAGGAGGAGATGAATGCACATGGGCTGACAGTGTCTGACAGCAGCCACAGCCCATGCAGTGCAGGTGAGTTGATTACCTGTCCAGGTAGAAGCGGGGGGCCAGCATGTGATCTGGATGTGCTGCATGGACTGCCAGAAACCCAAGAGTCAGTGGGCTGGAGTAGCAGGTGGCTGAAGGAGGCTCGTCTTCGTGTGGCAGCACCAGCAGCAGACAGAGGCAGAAGTGTGTGTGTGGGGGGGGGGGGCAGGCGATCTGGACATGCCACACAGGCCACGGGAAAGCCAAGAATCAGTGGGTTGGATCAGGTGGCCAGCCATGGGAGTCTCGTCTTTGCATATCCTGGCTTGCCTGTGGCCTATGTGATGCATCAGGATCACCTGCCTTCTACCCTATACCTCTGCCTCCATCTGCCATTGTATGAAGACGAGCCTCCTGTGACCAGCTGCTCGCTCCATCCCACTGACTCTTGGATTTCCCGTAGCCTGCATGGCATGTCTGGATCACCTGCTTCCCCCCCCCCACGCCTCTGCCACCATCTGCTGCTTGGACAGGGAATCAACTCACTTGCGTTGCGTGGGCTGCACAGCCCCAGAGTGCACTGACCAAGGGACCGGAGTGCTGCAACTGCTGGTGGATACCATTGGTCCCCGCATGCTTGCCACCTCTTGTGCATGCGCTGGGGGATGGGGCACCCAGCTGTGCTGATCACCCTGAAATCATGTTTCCCCAAAAATAAGCCCTAGTGCTTATTTTGGTGGGGCCCCCCTCAAATAAGACCTGGTCTTATTTTCAGGGAAACACAGTATATATTATAGAACTACTATATCTATATGATATAGACCGAATGCAGAAGTTAAAAAAAAAAGACAGATCGTGTTGCTTACTTGTTTACTAAACAGTTAAAATGTTACAGATTATAAGAAATATTCAGAAAAATTAGAGAATAAGGAAAGAAAGATAGCATTCTTTATGATGGTGGATGAGCAAGAGACCAAGAGATTTGGGACTGTAGTTGATTTTTTAGTACAGTGGTTATGCATTCCTGATTTCCTCACATGATCCATGGTGCTTTAGTTTAAGTGCTCCACGACTCCTCCTGGTAAGACAAATCAAAGTGAGATGTGAAAATTCAGAAGATGTAAAATTACTCATTATTAAATGAATAAAAAGAGAAAAAGCACAAGAAGCGTTAACCCTCAATGTAAGGTCTATTGAAATTGAAGAACTCAGCATCTTCTGTTGGCCACTTCATTTGACAAACCAGCCCCTTTCTCCAATTTCTAATGTTCATTTATGTTAGAAAATCCTTAGTCAGGAAGCAAGATGAGATCAAATATAAGAATCTTAAACTCCCTACGTGCTGAGAGCAAAGTACACAGTGGTTCTGGGCATCACTTGTTTTTCATTTTCCAAAACATGAAAGTTATACTTACACAACTGCATTGCAAAACATGCACCGGTTGGCATAGGTTACACCATCAGAACCACAGTGTGGTCGAAGCTCCAAAGTACAGGCCTCTTGCACCTGATCACCACATTGAATCTGCAGAAAGCAACAATATATTTTTTTTCAAATTTTAGGATTGAAATAATAAACATTTAATTGTTATAAAACTAATTATGCAGAAATATGGTGGTTGGATTTACTTGTTCCATCAGCAAAATGTTCCTTTTTTGAAGGACACTCCCTTATAAGGATAAAGTCTGTATCATAAGGATAAGTCTGTATCATTCTTCCAGAGGAGTTAAGAGAGGTCTGTAACAGGGGTGAAATGCTATCAGTTTGGACCACTTCAGGCGAACTGGTAGTAAAAAATGCTACCGGTTTGGGTGAACCAGTATTTCTGATGATCAGCTGGGCAACGATCAGCTGTGACGCACAATTTATATTAGCTAGAATCATCGGATTTCCTGCTTTCTAGCTAATCTAAATTGCGTGGCACAGTGGATTTTCTCCCCCTCGCTGTTCTACTTACTTTTGCAGACTCAGAAATGTTCAAAATGTTTCTTTTTTAGCACTGTGCGAGTGCGCCTCAGGTGCACATGCACTTGCAAAGTGTGCGCTTGGTAGCAGACTCACAGAACTAGTAGCAGACTTCAGTGGATTTCACCCCTGGTCTGTAACATCTTAGGTAGAGTGTCTATGGAGATCCTCCATCATGCAGGCCTTGATTGTCCAAAAGCTGCTTTTTTCTTTTTCCTTTGGAAACATTTTGCTTCTAATCCAAGAAATGAAGAAGCTTCTTGGATAAGAAGCAAAATGTTTTCAAAAAAATAAACAAGGAAGTCCAGTTGCCTTTTGGAAAAAGCAACTTTGGGAATCTTAGATAGAACTGTATCTTATTCAGCTGAATTTCATTAATAGTAAATTAGGTGGTTATGTATATGTGCTTTCATTCTTCCAAACAAAATAAATGGTCCCTCACAATTGGCTACATTGAAGCTAATTAGAAGATTGCTTGTTTTTACTCTAGATCAGAGATGAAAATCAGAAATCTACAACTCCCAACTTCCCTCGCTGACTGTCGGGGATGGCTAGCAGTTATAGTCTATCCGGTAACAACTCCTGAAGACCTCAGATTCAGCACATCTGACATAAATAGTATATAAAACTGATTACAGACCTAGATCAGCCATTATTACCTTGTTCTACTAATTGCAAAAGAACTAAAGTTGAACTAACAGAGGCTGGATCCAAGACGTATTTAAGGTAATACAAGGTAGCCCAAGGCAGGTACCTATTCTTGAGCAACAAATCTTATCCTCAATTTTTCTGTTTAAATCTAAATAATTTGGGGGCAAGAAACCTCTTCTGTGGAATATCATTAAATGGATCATTTAGAAGTTCTAAGTTCATATTGCATAGACAGTTTTCACAGGAAGAATGTAGAACAGGGATTATGGATTATGGAATAGATTCATTTGAGACAAAGCAAGGCTTCTATTTCTTCAGTCCATTAACTTATTCCAGTAAAGTTAGCACAAAGTTGGAATAATCTGAACCATACCATCTGTTCCAATGAAACTATAACAGATTAAAGGTAATCTTACGTATATCCATAGTCTACATTATCTAGATTTATAAACCTTGTTATCACTGAAACTATCACCTTTCAGTTACTAATGAGAATCTTTTCAGATTGGAAGGATTGAAATCCTGATCTCAAAACAAGTCGAGATACTACAGCTACTTGATTGCAGCTTTGAGCCTTTGTTGTGTTTTGATCCTCAGTTGTGATCTCCATTTGTGACTTCCATTTGTAACCATGAATGCTTTCTTAAAGGCATCCAACAGTCCTTCATTCCAGCTATAAATGTCATAAATAGAGCAAGAATTTGTCCAGTATCTTTTCAAATAATCAAAATTGGCCATCACTATTTCTGATGGTAGTGAATTCCATAGTTCAAATATATGATGTGAATGAAAATGAAATGCACTTCATTTTGTATTAGGCCTGATTCTACCTGGATTTAATTGTAATGGGAGTTCTAATATTGTAGGAAATGGAAAAAAAATCTCTCTACCCATGTATACCATGATATTTATGATTTTATAGACTTGTCTTCTATTACCTAGTTTTATTTCAAGGTGAAAGAAACAAACCCAACCCATGTATTTGCTTTGCTCCTGGAGAACTGTGCCAATCTCCTAATACTCTGATGATTACATTTTTTTGGTTTATAATTTCCTTTTTCAGATGTGAATGACCCAGTGATCTCACCATAGGTTCGTATAAACATGATAATATTTGTCTGATGCATTTCCATTCCCCTTTCTAATGCTTCCAAGCATGGAAATTGGGCTGACTCTTTTCTTAATCAATCACCTACCAACTCAGATTACACAAAAACATCCGTGAGATCAGGGTTTGTACTAATATTTATATGTCCGTATGTGTACATTTATGTACCTTTACACTTACTCACACTGAACTGTGTTTGCCATTTTGACATCCATTCACTCGGTTTGGAAACATCTTAAGTTTTTTGCCATCCCTTTCCAATTCGATTACTCTGATCAGTTCGTTATCTTGAGGAAATTTTGATCCTCAGGAATCAAATTAATTATAAACAAATTGATGAATATAGGTGACTGTTCTCAGCAGTAGTAATAATCCTTCCTATATCTCTCTGGCAAAATTATAATAATTTAAATATTGAACCAAGGTTTTTTTTTCTGACGGTGCATCATTTTAATAGCCAAGCTATTTCTCAGCTTAGAAACTGAACACAATTAGAATTAGAGTTTATATCTGCACCATGTAAATCTGTCAAAATAAACATTGCAATTGATTTTCATACCTAGATTTGCTTTTTATTTTTCTTTGCTCTGTAAAAAGCACTGATCTTAATTTCAGCTATAATAATATGGATTTAATAATGTATTTAAAAGACACAATTGCACTCACCTTTTCTTCCATTGCTTCAGTAACAAAATCTAGAACCAAACAACAGTAATATGAAAGCATTAAATTCAAAGCTGAGGTTGAAAAATGGTTGACTGGATAACATTTCTTCAATTATATAAACATGAATGTGTTTCATTTCACATTCTCCTTTATTTTCTCAAAAGAAACCTATATTCAGATACCAATATGTGTACATTATTTTCAATATTTCAAAAACAATCCAGCATAAAGTAAAAAATATTTCCTTCAAAATGTATTCAGAACCAATTATCTTATGATCTTCAAGCTTCTTTCCATAGATATCTGAAACTAGATGGAGGTTCTGAAACTTCGTGAAATTTCTGCATGGGCCATGAATAAAGTGTACATCATAAACACTTACTGTGATATGAAAGCTTTTTGCCTATAGATTTACCTCATTACATGGGGATTTTCATGCCTCATCAACTAACAATGTGTGATTTCTTCATGCAAGAAGATAATATCCATATGGTACACTTTGGAATTCATTATGGTCCTTCCACTGAATCCTTAATTTAAAGGATTGTTTCTGATTGCAGAAGCATTTAGAATGCCTGAACGTCTCTCTTTCTGAGGAATACATGATGGAATATGCCCATTTCTAAGAGGGGGGCTTCTTTGGAAAGGAAGTTTTGCAATTATGATGTGGGACTCACCCATATAAAAGAATAGCATCAGGGTGACAAGCAGAACCCCTGCTGTCTTCATGTTTGATTTTTCTGAAGTCTCTGCTACCACTTTCTGATCCACAGATTCCACTACCAGAGGAGGGATCTAATAACTCTTCTATGTCAGTGCTTTATGTATGGTATGTATTTGCAAATACTGTGATGATAAAGCTTTTTCAGATTAATATTTAGCTATGGAATTATGATACTTCTGTATTAAATTCAATAACAACTTCCTTATCTGCATAGTGAACAGTTGGCCTCCAGCTTCTTAAAAAATAAGGTATAAATTCACTTGTGTTTTTTTTTTTTTTGTTTTTTTGCTCATAAGCCATAAGACCTGAGATGATTAAAAGAGAACATGGCAGCCAATTCCATATCATAATCTTCAGAACAAATGTTTTTAAATTAAGGAAGCACATACAATAACATTCTGTATTCTTCAAGGCTGCTTTTTACATAGGCTTCTGGGTAAAATATATTTCAACCATAAACAAGGAATAGAATCTTTCCTTCTTTGCTTTTTCTACTATTGTTGGTAAGCTCAGCTTAGTTTTTGAGAATTAACAGTCTTATTTTGTCTTCAGATCCTGAGATTCCAACTACCAGTGCCTGCAGGGTTCTAGATTGGGGAAGTATGATGATGTTGGAATAATATTCTATGCACATTAGAGAAGAGACCTTGCTTCAGTAACAATATATCGATATGACTGATGCAGTCATATTGGTGCAGTTCATTTTGCAATCTGTCAATCACAGGGAGATAGTGATACACAAAAATAGAAAGAGAATGACTGTTATAAAGAGCAACTAAAAATAAATGATCCAATCTATAAACAATATAAAGAAAATCTATAGTTTGAATTAGGGGCAACTAAGTAATTTTTTCACTGCAAAAAAAAGAAGATTTGATCTTACACATTTCCTTCTGTCCCAAATGCAAATGTATTCAAATTAACACAGCTATCACTGAATAATACTTGACCTGAACATGATGAAATTAAATATCAATTTCTTTAATCAGCTGACAACATAAAAACATAAACAATCAAAAACAACTTAATGGATCTAAATTTATAACCCTTTTGTTGGAATACAATGTTGGGTTAAGTATAATGGGTAGTTAGGGTTTAGTTGATTAAAGCCAGGCTTCCAGGTTTTGATTCACCATCAGAAATGCTTTCTGGGGCTTTAACACTTCAAAGCTGCTTAGTCTTTAAACTTTGGTATCTATTGGTGTCAGGATTATGGAGTGCTGCAATTTTATTTCTAAAGATTCATATTATTTCTATATAATGCCAGCTATAATTTGGGGTTGGAAATCTGTCATAAATACAATATTCCTGTGAAGGAGCCTTTAAAATGCCTATTATCAAATGGATAATGTGGATCTAAGTCTCAAAATGCCATCTAACTGAAAAGGATCTTTTGCAAGGTCCTTAATCAAGGAGAGAAGCAACCTAGAACTCAGAAGAAATTTCCTGACAGTTAGAACAATTAATCAGTGGAACAACTTGCCTCCAGAAGTTGTGAATACTCCAACACTGGAAGTTTTTAAGAAGAGATTGGACAACCAATTGTCTCAAATGGTAAAGGGTTTCCTGCCTGAGCAGGGAGTTGGATTAGAAGACCTCCAAGGTCCCTTCCAACCTATCCTATCCTATCCTATCCTATCCTATCCTATCCTATCCTATCCTATCCTATCCTATCCTATTATCTTATCCTATCCTATCCTATCCTATACTATACTATACTATACTATACTATACTATACTATACTATACTAACTATTCTGTGTTTGGCTTACCTGAGTACAAAAAGAAGAGTGCCAGGGTGAAAAACAGGCAAAAAGCCACCTTCATGTTGGTAGAAGAGGATGAATCACACCAGAGTTCTTCCACTGAAATAGCTTCTAGCTATCACAGACACAGGTACTGTTTAAGCTCTAGCTGGGCATTTATGTCTATATATAAGCATTTTGCCACAGCCTTATCAAAAGAAGATAAGAGAATGTTGACATTGCAAATCCCTATAGGCACTTTTCAGTTTCCCCATTATATTGTGTTAGTCAGCTTCTATTAGTAAATATTGAGCAAATCTTTGGGAACAGTAAACATTTGGTAAGTCATAAATCATAAGCAAGAAAGCCATTTATACGTTCAAAGGGGAAATGTGAAAAATATTGTTATTCACTGAACAACAAATATTAAAGAATACACAGAATTCAATTCTTAGATAGACTCATGATAACCTTCAGTGTGTGTTTCTAGATATGATCCCGATTATAAAATTTGACCGCAAAGCAATGAAATTGTTTTACTATTACAACTGAATAGCTGTAGCTGAGAAGAATGCATGTGGCCATTTCGCCATTCTTTAAAGAGCTACTCTATGTGTATTCTTGCAATCTAGTACCCAAGAGCGTGTTTCTCAACCTTGGCAACGTTAAGATGTATGAAGTTCAACTCGCAAAATACCTATTTCCTGCAAGTCCTATAATTCTATGAATTTCATATTTCAATTATGTCTACCCATCAAAAATAAACCCATTGCAGAAACAGCAAGTAAAAAGAAGAGACAGGGTATCTGCTTTTATATTAACAATTGATAGTGTAAAAACATCACTGCACTAAAAGAAATTCTGTGATGTGAACTTAGAGACACTATTCATTAACTGCATATCCTTTTATTCCCTCCGTGATTTCTGTTCATTTTTTCTAGTTGCGGTCTATTATCCATGTCATCTCATATTTCCCATCTTCTCATTTCATCATCATCATCATCATCATCTTCTTATTTCTTATCTTTCCTACTACCTTCTCCTGCTGGTATATTATGATTGATCAATTGTTGTTTGTATTTCATGAGTTAGGTGTCAATTCGCAAAGCATCCCTGGCCTGCTCTCGAATTGCCATAGGCAAGGGGGATGGGAAACCGACAAAACAGCACAGCAGCCAAAGACAGATGCACATTCCAGACTTACTGTATTTTTTGGAGTATAAGATGCACCGTAATTTTGGGGGAGGAAAACAAGAAAAAAAGAATTCTGCCTCTGCCTACCAGCATCAGGATCAGCGGCATCCTCACTTCCATTTGGATTTTGACAACAGGTAGCACAGATCTTTTTATCAGTTTAAAACAAATCCTATCTATTTAACTGGACTGGGTAGGCTGGGGTGGGGGATGATTTTCATGGGGGCAGTTATCTCAGGAGGTTAAGGAGAAGTCTGCTGCGATAGGGGGTGGGGATCTCCAGTCCTCACACAAGTTATGAAGGCAGACATCAGAACTGCTAGGGCTGCTTCCAGGCAGATCCTGGGAGAACTCGGAGCTCTCGGTGGCTAAAGGGGAAGAAGAAAACTCTGGGCATGTTGAGAACACACACACTCTTGTTGCTGGAAGAAGGAGAGAAGGGCTGCTTCTCCTGCAGTCTCCCCCACCCCTGGTCCTTGCACCTTGTTCCTACACTCTTCCCTCCTCAGCCACCTTCTCCTCCCAAATGGTCTTCATGCCCAGAGGGACTCCAGCCGCAGTCGAGGTTGATTCCCCCCCCTCTTGCTCTCTTAAACTGAACTGCACTGAGCAGCTGGGGGGGCGGTGTGAAGGAGAAATGTCTCAGCTCCCCACAGCCACTTGGCATTTTGACCACCCTGTTAGGTTGGCTGAATGAGGATGCAGAAAGCCAGGCAGTGAGTGACAACAGCTCTTTATTATAGGGTGAGAACCCAGCAACTGACCTAGAGAAACAGCTCCCTTTATATATCTTGCAGCTGTGGTGGTCAGCCAATCAGCTGATGGTCAGTTAGTTCAAACTTCCCTCCAAGAAAACCTATTTACATAACAACCCGAAATGGATCAGTGGCAGCTGCTGCTTTCTCCCAGGATCATTTATCAACAAGTCAGAAAAGCAGTGCAGTTCAGTTTAAGAAAGAAAGGGGAGGGGGAGAATCAACTTTGACCTTCTTCCAGCAACAGGAGAATGTGCTTTCTTAACGTGCCCAGAGTTTTCTTCTTCCCCTTTAGCCACCAAGAAGGAGGGCCCGCAGCTCTACAAATTGCATTGGAGAATCGGGGAGGAAATGCCGGAAAATGCGATGCATGGAGGCAATGGTTTTGCAAAGCGGGCGCTTCTGCATGGAGAGGTGTAAGGCAAGGTGCTCGCCACCCAGACTGCCCCTTCTCCAGACTACCTAGGCTGAGAGCAGTCAGCTTCTGCTTCTGGCCCAGGAGACGGATCTGGCCAGGAGGGAAGAGAAAGTGAGACTGCAGAAAAGGAGGAGGAGGGTGGGCGGTTTTGCGAATTGCTTCGGGGAATTGGGGAGGAAAAACGGCATTGCCTCCATGCATCGCCTTTTCTGGCGTTTTTCTCCCCAATTCCCCGAAGCAATTCACAAAGCCACGCACCCTCCTCCTCCTTTTCTGCAGTCTCACTTTCTCTTCCCTCCTGGCCAGATCTGTCTCCTGGGCCAGGAGCAGAAGCTGACTGCCCTCAGCCTGGGTTGTCTGGAGAAGGGGCAGGCTGGGCAGCGAGCACCTTGCCTTACACCTTACGCAGAAGAATCCACTTCGCAAGAGCATAGCCTCCATGCATTGTGTTTTCTGGCGTTTTCCTCCCCGATTCCCTGATTCAATTTGTACAGCCGCGCACCCTCATGAAAATGTGGCCGCGGTAGTTTTCAGCAGGTTCCAAGCAGCAGCCTAACCATTTCCGCCACCCATCTCCCAACATGCACATTGCTCATTTTTGGCAATGTGAGGATCCCCACCGCCTGAAACCACTGGAAAATGCGACGCACAGAGGCCAACAATCAAGGGTGGGGGCCAGCGGGTGGATGGGGCTACATTTGGAGTATAAGACGCACCCAGATTTTCACCCCCTTTTTTGGAGTAAAAAGGTGTGTTTTATACTCCAAAAAATACGGTATCTCTCTCAAGGCTGTCTCCCAGCATTACCCACAGCGGCCAGAGGGGAGTAATCTCTACAACCCTCGAAGTTGCTCTGTTGGCGAATGTAATTGATGGCACACCCTGGGGGAGGGAGGAAACAGGGTCATGATTGGGGCATAAATTATGTGGGGTCAGAGCTGGCTTCACTTGGGAATGTGCCAACATGAAGTTCCTAATAAATAACTGGATTTCTTTTGAAGCTTGGCTTGAGACTCATGATTTAATTAGGGCATCTGTCAGAACCCTGACATTAGGATTGCATCTTATGATTTGTGATCTATGACTTATCACTTTGTGGTTGTATCTATGTACACTGACAGTTTATGCACCGGAGACAATTTCCTTATGTGTCCAATCACACTTGGCCAATAAAGAATTGTGTACTGTTCTGTTCTGTTCTATCAATATTACAAATAAAAGAAAAGGCAAGCATCTGCTAATGCTACACTAACATTTCTTATAATCAGGTGCTAAATATGTATGGAAATTGTGATCTTTTACCACCTAGAATTAAGGTTGCTTGCAGAAGATGTTGAGGTATACCTTCAGCCCTGATTCAGTTGCATTGGTGTCATTTAACTAAAAGTATGTCTTTAGAAGCCAAACGAGATAATCTAAACAAAGTAAATTAATATTCGCCAGTCATTTCATTTGATGGGGGTCAAGAAGTTCCCTTCAGGGAACCTTAAGATAGTTTTGATGGTGCATGTGAGCATTGCAACATTTCTTCCTCCTTGTATGAAATTAGGTTCAGGAACAGGAACTCCATCTTATTCTTCTGACATCAGTGACAGAAAATGTTGCTTTATTTTTTGGAGGGACTAGAAAATATGATTAATTTAGAAAAACAAGCAGCTGGTATCTGAAGGTTGATCAAGTTTAGTGTTTTCCCTTTCACACACTTGTGGCTTTCCTTCCTCCTTAAAAGTGCAAAGTTATAATAAAGGCAAACAATACAATATGTTATATACATATATACATAACCCACAAAGGAGTCCACCTTTGCCTTTATCTTTATCTCCAGCCTCCCACCTTTTTTGTAAGCAAAATCCACTCCTTCTTTGCAGATGCAATATTTTAAAAACAAAGGATGATCATCCATATCTGACAAATTCTAAAGAAAAAATAAGCATGCCACTTGTATTTGACTAGATAAAATTTGAAAAGGCACCTCCTTAATTTATGAGCTGATCTTGGCAAGTTAGTGGTTTAGAACAGGGGTCTCCAACCTTGGCAACTTTAAGCCTGGTGCTGGTTGGGGAATTCTGGGAGTTGAAGTCCACCAGGCTTAAAGTTGCCAAGGTTGGAGACCCCTGGTTTAGAAGACCTAATCAGTCTTGGTTCTCCTCCTTACTATGTTTTCATAAGCCTGATTAGTTTTTTTAAAGTGCTGTATCATGTTTAATTTGCTTGAGATTACCCCAGGACCTGTGACCCACTGTTGGAGAAGTCCTAGTATAATCCCTATGATATAATCAAATTTGTATAAGTGGCCATTTTTATTTGATTGTGGTAACTATGAAACCCTTCGAGACATGCATGTCAAGTTTCTAAGAAAAAGAATGCCACATGTGTTTGGCTAGATAAAATTTGAAAAGCCACCTGATTAATTTATGAGCTGATCTTGGCAAAATAGTGGAGTCAGAAAAACTAATCAGTCTTGGTTCTCCTCCTTACTACGTTTTAATAAGCCTGACCAGGTTTTTTTTTTTTTTTTTTTTAATGCTGTATGTATCTATGTTTAAACTGCTTAAGACTACCTCAGGAGCTGTGACCTGAGAAGTCCTAGTATAGAGATTTTCTGTGTGATATAATCAAATTTGTATAAATAGCCACTTGCTTTTATTTGATTCTGGGATGGAACCCTTTGAGACATGCATGTCAAGGTTTTAAGAAAAAATGCCACATGTGTTTGGCTAGATAAAATTTGAAAAGACACTCAGTTTGAATTTCTTATGGAAATGTGATATGATACGTTGAGTTGTA